TGTCGCCACAGACACACCCGAGAGACCCGGCATGAACTGAATACCACACTAAGGCATGGCATGTGTGTGTGTGTTGCTGCAAATGTCCGAGGACTCGGGTGGAGCCTTCTGTTCAGAACGGGTGTGCTCGTCTGTCAGCTGTTGTGCACAGACGGTCTGAGACGAACAAGTTACCATCCTCCCACACGCTCACACACACACACACACTCAGACGCACATATAAAAACATGCCATATGCACATGACCAACCAATAACCCATCCAACAACGTGCCTCCAAGAACTGACACAGTGCATCATGTAAATACATTTTTGCTGCCATTTCAATAAGCATTTTATTGCCACATGAGTCAATGGTCTCCCTGACCTGCTTTTTGTGCATCAAACAGACATGATGAATAACAATTATTACTAATATTAGTTATCATTAGTCATTTCTCAAAGTGCATTTGAAAGGCGGGCTGTGTTTTGTGATCTGAGTTTGAGAAAACAGGGAGCGATGATGCATCTTGGCATTAAAGCAGGGGAAAAAAGGCTTGAAGAAGCTGGAAACGGTCAATAGGTCAAATTTAAAGGTCATTCAGTAGGTACTTAAGGATTCTCATGTTTGAGTTTTTTATAATGGCCTGTTTGGAAGATTGATGTTGGCATTTTTGATGCTAATCTAAGGTCACGACTTCAAATTTTGAAAAGACCTTCACTGCTAGAACAGCTTAACATGTAGAACAATATGTACAAAAAATATGTAAGACAGAAAAGGAAGTGAGTCCCTAAAACTAACTTGTTTCATCATCTCAAACGGAAGCATTTTTTTTTTTATTATACTTCTATATAGGATTGTATCTTTATGGAAATATAGTACGTTCCCTATATAGAGCTTCCGTAGCAATCAACAGGGAATATTTGCCAAAAGTTTCTGTCATCAAATTAAGTGCATTAAATATTAAATAGCTTCATTCCATAACCATGATGTCATCTGACAAAACAACTATAACTGCAGGTTAAAAATTTTGCCTATATTTACATATAAACTTATCACTTATATAGAAAGTTACAAGTAACAGATGGTATTTCTTACTTCTTCTTACTATGTGTGGAAATAAACCACAAGAGCCATGTTGCACGTGTGCAAAAAACATCATTCACCTGAGCTGCTGCTTGTTACTCTGCTGCTCGTGCACTCTGCCTAAGCTGAAGCAGAGTTCACAAATCTTCTTCTCCTTTAAAAGTACTGATAGTTTTTTTTTTTTACTACTTTCGTTTTAACATTTATAATTTTTCCTAATCAAAAATGTAAATTAGCGTGTGAACAGCAGCCTACCAAGACTGAGTCAGACACATTGATGATACCCTTACAATCCTCATAATCCTTATAAACCTAACACTAGGCCTTGGCGTAGCCCCCACTTTCTGAAACAAGTCTTTCCACATCCATTTAAAGCTACTTCCTTCTGATTTGCTGCCCCTTCTCAGTGGAAGGTTCAAACAGTCTGGGCTGTTGAACATAAATGAAATTGTGACCATGTTTAATATGAGCATCCACCATTGTGACAGAAAAAAGAAAAGCACAATAGTTCCAATTTAATTACAGTTACAGCTGCTTTGGGGTACAGGGGTCTCGAGGGTGAGAAGGGTTAAGACAATTCTTCTTCTTCTCGACCATCAGCGAGTCATTTGTGTTCTGCTCCAGACCTCATTTCTGCTCTGTAAGGTGCGGGGTTAGTGAACCATCACCATTGCAGTCCACTGTAACTGCTGTGAAACCATGCTGAACATGTCAGAGGTGCAAACTGCAGACGTTTTACAAGCTCCTTTATTGCCTCGCTCTAAAACAGAGATTTTGGGTGGAGTGAGAGTTTAATGATAAAACCCTCACTTCTGTTTTAGAGCCCCATAAATCACCGCAAAGCTCGGCTGTGAGCCGTGTTTAGCGTTAAAACATTGACAGCTACCATATGATAGAAGAGATGATTAACACTAAAGTTAAGAATTATAACCCACTTTAATTTATCAATGACTTAACAAATTGGATGGACCAATTTAAAAAGTCCTGTATGACCTTCATATATTTTTTTGTATTTTAGCCAAAGTGATCAGTTTCTACAAAGCACTTGTCCCTATTGCACCAAAGTTGGCCATTAATTCAAATTAAATTAGTTATTCACATATTAAAGTGATTAATGGACTGGTCTTTAGCATGGTCTCCTCCTGGCATGTGGTTTTGGGGAAGCTGGGCCAGTATTATTCATGCATTCAGAACCTAAACGAGTTATTTCATGAGAATTAAGTGAAAAGTTGAACAAATTATTATTGGTGCAGACAACCTGAGCCTAAAGGGACAGTAACTTTAGAAACACCAAAGCTGTAACTTGTTTACCCTTCATGTTTAGAAGCGATTAAATGATCATACATCAAAACAGAATTTGGAATACGTCACAATGTCTGCAACGAGCTGCAGCCAAAATAAGCCGTCACACTGTGTGGGATCTGGGAAATGCACAGTAGCCATTTCTTTTTGTGTGCAAGAGAGTTTTACAATGCTCACACAGGCCCCTGGGTACAGACCTAATCAGCCCGGCTACTGAATTATGCATGACGATAATCTCTAGTCTGATCACTCCAAGGTATCACCAGCACTCTTATAAACAAAACGTAATTACATTTTTGGATAAACACTCAGGCTTAAAGTTTTGCGCTTGTGTTTAACTTGTGTCTTTTTTTTCTTAAAGATGCTGTTCTGTTGCTCTGTATTCACCGATCTCATTTTAATAGCTCTAAAGTCGACAGGAATTACATCTTTAAAGTTACAACCAGTCTGCAAGAAACAGTGATGTATGTGATTAGTGTGCATGTGGTGCATTGCAAAAGCTCTGCGTGGGTCATAATTAGCAGCCAAAGGTGCAGATTTGTTTAACCCAAGGTGCAACGCTTCTTGATTCAACAAAAAGAAACAAAACTTATTTATTAAGGAGCTACTGTCAAAATAAGAGCCTGTGAAATGTTTGCATTAGCATTATAGCTATGTTCAATAGTGAGATAGACAGCATTTTACTGCTTGTTCACACCAAACAAAGTGAAGCCAAAATATCCTAAAAGCACGCACTGTTCCTTTGTGATTTTTGGTACATCATCTGCAACCAGAGTCAGCAGTAACCCTGCGGGTGGTGACGTGATATCGAGCTCGCACCTCCTGCCTGGGCCAAAATGTGAGCACACACAGAGATGCACAAAACAATGACACAGAGGGACGTGATGCTGCTGAAATGCTGCAAAGTTGGTTAAAAATATGTCTCTGAGACAAGAGCTAGAGCTAGAACTATCTAGTGTGCCAAACACAGATCTACTGTATATGCATATTTGCTACCTGATATGTGCCGATATGCAAACTTTCCTCCACAGAACACAGTGGCAACAAAATCCTTTGCGTAACTTAGATAACCAAACGGAGATAGCGCTATTTCTAAGTGTCCCCATTCGTAGGAAGACTCCATATCACATCTGAGTAAATAGTGACACTGAGTCAAGCAGTGACTTCAGAATAAGCTGCAAATGAGTTAGTGAAATACATTGTTTGTTACATAGGAGCATTTTGGGAATTGTCCCCAGAAAGTCTTTAGGAATCAAATTTTTTTAAAAATACAGGTGATTGGTTGAACAAGATGACTGCCACAAGTTACATCCACTGGATAACTTCAACCAGTCCTATGAGCCATATGCGGAGAGCACAGACTGTATATAAGAGATGGATAAATATACCAGTTCTGAAAAGTGAGATATTTGCCAAAGAGCCTTGGCTCATCTGTTATTAGCATGAGAACTGAAAAGCCTGATGGTTGTAGGTGCAAATGATTTCCTGTATCTCTTTATTTTACAGCGAAGAGAGAGGAATCTTCCAGTACTGATGTCTTTTGTTCTAGTGGTTGATGTTACAGTGGCTTAAGCTGTATTTTATATTATCCATGAATCAAAGCAGAAACACCCCTCAGTTCCTCAGAAAACACTTTCTGATGAATTCGTAATCTCAAAAGCTAGTTTGGTATTCATTTTGGAAATTGTTGACTCCATTAGATGCAAGAAGGAGGATATAGTAATATAGTAGGGTGGGACAAGTTAACAAGTTGCTACCATTGGAGCGGTTTGTCTGTGTTTCTCAGACAGATTCACCCATCACTCTTCAAACACCCAGATGGCAAAGCTTGAAGCTTCAGAGTGGGGCCTCCCTTATCACAGGGTGATGGCACCAGAGCTACATCCATCCTCTATATACAGTCTGTTTGCAAAACACTCTGTGACTTAATTCTTGGGAAGTGTTTACAAAAGGCAGATTGGTTGAGCCATCTGCCTGCCACCTTCTATTATGGGCTAACTAACCTCCGAATCATTCAGATCAATGAACCACAGGAGAGCGACACCTAGCGAGCAGTCAGTATATTCTTGCCATGTTTCACAGTTTGGCATCTATCCCTGTCTACCCTCACACCTTACACATGCCTGCAGCTGTGACCTTCACGGCTGGTAGATTCTCACAAGATGTTGATTAGTTGAACTAACAGGTGTGCCATTTGAAACTAAGCAGGATGAATTCTGATGTATTCCCGATTTCGCCTGAAGCAGCCTGAGGAGGTAAGCAGTCGATCTGTCCCCTTTCCCCCTTTCAAAAGTTTCTACACCCGCCCCTGCTCTAAGCAAGGAAGTTTGTTTCTCCTGCTGTCACTCTCTCACACATTACATCATTGCCCACTGATCATCAGGTGCCTGGCTGATGCATCGGCACACACACACACACACCTCCCACACAACAAATCAACTTGTCAGCCTCTTATCTCCCCTGCCTGAATGTCCAGTCGTGATCAGAGACAGTATTTGTGTGTGCGGGTCCGTGTGCGAACGCGTTCCAGCTGTGTAATTTAAAAATGAATCGTGTGCATAATACGTGCGCGTGTCTGTATCGTTGTATTTATGTGTGTGTGTGCGTGTCTGTGCGTGTGTTTCTGCTGCCCACCTTTCATCCAGTCCACCACCTGGCTTGTGCTCCATTTGCTCACTGGCTCCATCACCAGCGCCATCGAGGAAACTTTGCGCTTACTCTCCGTTGCGCGCAAGCAGTGGCGTTACCCCCAGAACAAGGCTCTGTGAGGCGGGTACACCTCCCGCCCTCCTCCACTCCCCTCCCTCTCTAATTTCCTCCGCAGCCAGGTGACTACTTTTTTTTTTTTTTTTTACTTTGTCCCTCTCTGGTCCTGGTCCCGGTGCCTCAGTATCAGCCCTGTGTCGTCTCCCGTTAACGCAGTGGAGCCCTCAGTGCGGGACAGCCCGGGTGTGTGCGCAGCGGAATCCGGCACATTCCCCTGCTCGAGCCGGTCTGACTTGTGTCGCCTCTCTCTGTTTCTCTTCTCTCCCTTCTTCCCAGTGCGCTAGTCCGCTCCTGCGCTCCGGTGTGTGTGTGTGTGTGTGTGGTATTGTAAAGAGAGCGAGAGAGAGGAGTGTGTGTAGGTGTGTGCGCAGCCGCTCCGTTACCGACAGCAGCAGTGTAGGATAGATAAGTCACACCGGACTTAAAGCCGGCAGCATCTCTCTCTCTCTTTTCCAGATATGATTAATCCGTGCACGCGCTCTGTGGGTGGCTCCGCGCGCACGTCAGTGTATTTCCCACCGGAGCGATAGTCATGCAGATATGATTGAGGGAGGAGATATTCTCAGAAGATATTTAATAAGAACGTGTCTTCGATAGAGAGACATTGTGTTACATACAGAGAGAGGGAGAGTCAGCATGGGGTACCTACACACTTTCTGCTCCAGCTGCTGTGTGAGGAAACTTAATGAATCCTCAGCCAACCGCTCCACCTCCACTCCAAAGATCGTTTCTCTGCCCCCTCAAACCATTTATCTTTCTCTCTGCCTTGAAATCCTCCATGTAGATGTTGAGCACACACTTGTTTTACATTTACACCATATTTGCTTGACTGGAAGAGTACAAGACCTACACTTTTTTAAATAAGTAAATATAGGTTGTATGTGGGTTAAACTGGAACATTTAAATTAACATTATACAAATTGATTTATAGTCTTTATTTTGACTCTTGCAGCTGTTTCTTTGCAGTGTTCTTAAAACTTGTTCCTGGACAATTTCAGATAATCTTAAAGAGAGTGCAGGTGAGGCTGGAAACACTTCAAGCATGATCTTTTTCCAAGTTCTGAGACATTTCTGCTCCAGACAAATTACAGTAGTGGATTTGTTTAGGGACAACTCCACCAATGCAGAACCAGGAGCAACACAGCCTACATCCTTGCTAATGTGTAACTGAATTAGATTTCTTAGTAAGTAAGTTTATTCATAAGTTTAAAAAACAATTAATAAATATATTGACATACAAAATATATGGGTAAAAGTTTATGTGCAATGCAAGACAAGCTTAAGACAAATCGAACATGAAAGCCTGCTCTAACACTCTAATCCAGTCCTGAATAAGCATAGATACCACCTCAAATAGTGTTGGGATCAGTTATTCTTAGTGGTTTCCATGACTGGTTTTATTTGTCCAAGTTCTCATGTAGCCACATTTATGCCTTCATCGAATTGCAATGTAACTGGTGGTTTCATCAGAGGGCATTTCCAAGAGCACAGAACCTCAATGTGAACTCTTCTGTGTGTTTCCTTAAATAAAGAGGAAAGTCAAGCACACAACCTGGAAAAACAAGCAAGTGAAAACCATCTTCAAATAAAACCATATAAAACTGTAAAACATGAATAGATCTATAAAACCAAAACTTTTCTGGTAGAAAAGCACAGTTAGTTCTGTTACTGGCATCTATGTAGAAGCCAGTGTACTCGGTCCCAGCCCTTAATTCCATCAGAAAGGCCATCAGGCATACAATTTCAGTCAAGCATGTGGCTCATAAAGAGATGTTGGTGTGATGGAAGAGGATGCTAGGTATAGGTTGAGATGGGGTGTGATGGAGATAGATGATCCTCTTTGGCGACCCCTACAGGAGAAAGAAGAAGAACTAAAATGCAAGAAGTGCTTAAAACTGAAAAAGGAGAATTTTCCAGAAAGAGTTTACATTAGATTAGTAGGTAAAATCTGTCATGAGGTATTCTTTTGTTTTTACCTTTAGGGTGAGCTGATTGCTTTATATCCTTTCTTTAGTTTATCTTTTAGTTTAGTTTTATTTTAACCTTAATACAGATCAGCTGACTGTGACAAGCTTGTGCAGTAAAAAATCAATGTCCTACTCCGGATTTTGCTGGAAACTGGAGGAATTCATTCTTTGGTGTTGTTACTGGAGTCACAAATGAAATTATTAAATCTAATTATTAATTTAGTAATTACATTGTATTAGTGCCAGATATCTACCTACATAACTTTCCAACCCTTTACAAGTGCTGTGCACGCTCATTCCAGCTATAAAGAAGTGCTGGATGATCTGATTCACTGCTGCCTCACCTCCTACTGTAGGCTGACGTTTGCACATTCACTGAAGACAACCAGTGAGATGAGAGTCAAGATTTCGTAACGCAACAGAGACATCTGCTGGTGAAAAGTGTAACTGATGTGGATTAAAAGCAACTTACTGGCTGACTTACTGGAAGCCCGACAAATGAAAGAGAAAAATTGCAGAAGTTGGTGGGAAAATGAGACAAATTAATGTCACCACAAGGAAATTTCCCCTTTTTCAGTTTCCCCTCTTAGTTCTGTCTCATTTGTATTGTTCACACTCCCATGTGTTTACCTAGAAAAATGAAATAGTCAAACTACTGAAAACTGAAAGCACGAGATTGAAATTCATGTAACAACATTATCGGATTAAAATTCTAATTACTTTAATTAATTAAAATACTTAATTACTTACTTACTTGATGATGCCCTTCAGTATCCATCTAGGGAAAACAACTACCTGAGCTTTGGTAGTATTCACCTACATTCATATACACTTACACACATGACAGAGTCAAGTCACAACGTGTAGGTTTAAGTTTGAGTAGTGACATATTTCTATCATTTGGACCCAGTAAGTGCCAGTGCCTCCTATTAATTTGAGAAGATCTGACCTGAGTAAGTTTAGTATCTTAGTCTTGTGAAACAGCCTCTAAATATCTGGGATGAAGTTCATTAAAAGAGTTTTATCTTCAAAGCAGTATTGTTCATAGTTTATCTTTTGATGCTTTACTGTGAGTTTCTGTTCTGTTGTAAGGTGATAGCAGAATATCATTCAGCTAAGGATCTACAGATTCACACAATGAGGATGAGGAAGTGAAAAGGGGAATATATGCTCATGAAAAAAATGCACACACTAAAGCACTAATGTCCTTCAGTTTAGTTTTGAAAAACTCATGGCTTATCATATTTTATACACACAATACACCCTCATATTAATACACATGTAATATGTGACCTATAATAAAACACAGTATATTGTTATACTATTATATAACCATTTTGAAGCAGCCAAACTGTTGTATGTCAATTCACTTCACTTCATTTTTATTTATACAGTGCCAGATCACAACAATGATTCAAAGCACTCCCATTCAAGATCATCTTCTCCACCATGACCAGTCAGTTTTCAGTGCTACTGCACATTTTTTTAATTATCTCTTGGAGGCACATACACATGGAGAACAGGTGAAAACATACCATGTAGTCATTCTTGTTTTACAGTTAGTGCATTGTAACGTAAAGGAGTTCACCAATTTTCAAGCAAATGCTTCTAAAATTTTCAGAATAATGCTCCTCGACATGCAAGTTTGTAAATATATCATCATATACAAATATATAGCAAATAATAACATACAAAGATATGGAGAAATCCCGTATGCAAGGGGAAAGACTTAAAATGAGTATAGGATGCCTACGATCTTTGGACACCCAGTTAGCATTAAAACCGGCATTGATTCTTTCATGGAAATAACTACATTGGCTCAGGCACACTTCCAGAAATTATTGTCTGTGAACACAGCTCACTATGCCATCCACAAATCCAGATTAAAGCCCTATCATGGAAAGAATAAGCCATATGTGATCCAGAAACACCACTGTCTTCTCTGGGCCAAAGCTGGGTGGAGCAAAAGTGCATTTAATATTTTATTTCAAGCTGTATCAGTTAGCCTTGTCAAGCAGCTAACTGATACATGGACAGTGTTTTAGCATAGAATTTTAACAGTGTAGTCCCCGTAGAACACAACAACACATTAAAAGCAAATTAAAACATTAGCGGTGGATGGTGGCTATGAATAACCACTGAAATATATCTACTGTCAATGGAAAGAATTATTTTTGGAATCTGACACCTGTTTTATGGCAGAATATTAATTTTCTTTTAATGAAATCATTTTATATCACTGTTAAATTAGAGGTAAAAGACCTGTAACAGCAGCAACTGCAATGAATTCATAGAGTGAAAATATACAAAACACCACTGTCTGACAGTGCTAAGTAGGCACCATACCCTGGACTGAGGATGGGGGATTAAGTTCCTCAAAATACTGCGATGTCATTGGCAGCACAATATGACAGTGAAAATAAGAGTGGCCTTCATAACTTATATTTTTTTTCCACAATCAAAACTCGCATAAATCACTACAAGATCATGACAGGAGCAAGAGTCTGGCCATTCCTCGTCAGGACAGCTCTGGATAGACGGATAACACACTATGACCAAATGAATGTGTGGTACATTGTTTTGTTAAGTAACTGCGTGGCCTTCTCAAACCTGTTTGCTTTCCTGCTATTTTTCATCATTCTTCCATCTCCCCTCATGCCTCTCACCCTGGAGACTTTGGTTCTTTCTTTTGTTTTCGATTTATTGGATTAACTTTATTGGATTATTTTGCTGTAGCCACTTTTCTGTAGCCTCACTGTCAAAACTTATTTTGCTAAACAAGTCTTTTTTCAGCCTCACTAAGTTAATTAAATGTCTTCTTTTCACCTTACCATATTAGGGTAATCTGTACAAAAATACACCTAAAATTCCCACAAAATTTGAAATGCCATTATTTAGTTACTAATACCACTTTGTATTTTTATTCTTTCTGACTGTATTACATTTAGGTTTAAATGAAAGGTAATATGCTTTCAATGTGGCCTTTTGTTTTTTGTTTCAGTCTTTCTAAAAGCTGCAAGGGAAAGTAAAAGTGTTAGTCTCCAGACATGGACGCCCAAGTCCCAGCATCCCAGCACTACAGTTAAGTTTTTGGTCCAAAAGTCTTTCCATGACACAGTTTGTATTTTGTTTTCTCTGTACACCAACACAGCCAGCCATATTACCTCATTACACTGGAACTCTTATACCACCTCCAGACCCTTCAGAATGGAGAATCAATGATTGTCACAGTTCTCACAGGTCCTTTCACTTCCTTCCAATTGGTCAAAAAAGAGACAGAGGGCACATACGACATGCAGATGAAAAGTGTCTTGAGACACAGAAAGCATTTCCTTTAGAACAGCAGGACTGTTTACACCAATGTGATGTTGTAAGTATAAGAATACATTATTTACAATGAAGATTATTCCTGTTGCTTTAGTTTTAGTTTGATCTAAATTATGCTGAGTATACA